TGTGTCGCAGGATACCCTCTAGGTGATAGTTCTTGATTACTTTTTGATAAATAATTCATTCTTATTGCGAAATAGGAACACTATTTATCAATCTGTAATAAAAGACGTGAGGAAATTCTCTCAAAGACGAAAATTTTTGAGGCGAAATACCCAACAAGAAGTTTAAAGAAAAAATCCGCCTCAACAATATGGAACGTATCTACAATTTTATTGGTAGCGAATTTGCCCGAAAAGATAATAAATTCAGTCTTTATTTGTCGAAATACGGCGTCAATAAGCAATGTGCAATGCGAGATTTCGCAGACTTAGCATAGAACGACGATGTGTAAATAGCCGTATCATCCGCGTAATGTTCTATTTTTGTAGTTTACACTCACAACTCCTGCATTATTGCAAGTACCTTGTGGTACTTACAGGAGTTGTGAGAAGAAGAACTTACAATAGTTACTTCTTCGCCTAGAGAGTGTGGTAGAAAATGTGAAAATTACATCTTTAATCAGGAATATATCCAACATATATCTTTAACAACAGAGCTATTTTTACAAGAAGTTATAGTACCAGCGACTTAAAAGCGAAAATGTCGTGCATTCAATTTCTTTCTGTCAAAGACTTGGCCTAATGGGTTTGGTGAAGATTTGACATTTTTCAGTAGTTTATGAGAAGAAGGGGCCGATTTTGCGTCACGCTAATGAACAGAGTTAATTGAGAGTCGTCACGATCCAACAGGAAAACAGAAATTTAAAATTGATCAGGAAGTGATAATGGGGAAAATGTTAATATAGAGATTGTTAATGTCACCGCAGAAAGCAGAACTCCAAACAAGAAGCCAATTTATGTCTGTGTTGGATGAAACAAAATTAAAACGGCTGCATAAATTGACTTTAATAAAATTCTGACTCAAGGCTTTCGGTTTCATTATCAGAAAATCTGCTGAAAGAACTGTCGGACCTGAAGCCAATGTTCAAAAAACAGCTGGGCTAAAAGCAATAAATTGATTTTTTGCTTCGGAAACATTCATGTAACGTAAAATTGATAATCGATTCACTTTTTATCACGTCTGATTTGAATGTGTTCGCTTTAAAAAGAGTGTGAAGCCAAGTTTAAGTCAAAGAGATATTCAATTTGAGTAGAGTAAATCAGAAGGCTAACAAATAAAACTTAAAATGATTAAATTTCGTTAGATTTTTCAGCATACTTGTATGTTGCATATTCATGTTACCTAGTCCTAAAGTACTTACTTTAGCAGTTAATACATACCAATACTAGTTGTCCTTCTACTGATTTTCTTTGAGGATTTGACGAAAATATGGCTTCAATAATGAAATATGGCAGTAGAATAAAAAGAAAAAAGAGCGCATGTATAACTCCTTTAGCCGAGTGCAAAATTTCTTCAATCGTTGCCCTAAAATAAATTCATTGTAAATTATTTCTATGATTGTGCTAATTCTGTGCGTTACATTCGAACTTCTATAATGATTCAGTTTATGATTTTAGTAGACAGGGAAAATTGGTCGTGTTTACGGATTATCTCTTCAATTGTAGTAGAACTCAAGGAGCTGTTATTATTAGTGTTCTTGTTTCCATTTTAAGCTAAATAATATGAAAACCCAAATACCAAACTACCAAAAAATCAATTTTTTTGTACGACGCTAAAAGGACAGAAATAGAGACAAACTAATAATTAATAGGCAACACTGAAAACGTGATAAATTTTACAAAGTGGGTTGCTACTGAGAGCACTAAACAAATTTCCCTGGTAAAACTAAGATACAAAGTTCCGTTGCAAAAATAACCTGCAACGTTTCGTAGTCACAGGCTTATGCACATTGTCCAGTCAATATAATAATAAACGTAAATTGCGAACTAATTTAAACCTATAGAAATTCGGCAATCCAACAAAGTGCAAACTTGGAGCCGCGGAATTATAAAATACTAAGGAACAGAATCTGATATATCATCTGGTACTTATCTAATACCAGTACGCTTGGCCTCCCCGTTTCCCCGACTTAAATCTATTAGATTTTTACCGCTGGACCCCTGAAAAACTTAGGTTGCTCAACTTATGTTGAAAGAAGGGAGAATATTTTTGCAAAGAATCATGTTTCTGTCCGATCAACTAAAAAACAATTCTGGAATTTTGTTGTGGATTGAACACTCCTCAGTTGGTTCTGCGCGAAAATGTAGGTCGCTTAGGGGCCTACATCTAGGTAGAGAGGGTCTGTCGAATTTATATTATCTTATGTTATTTTGACATCCTGTTCTGTGTGAAAATAAAGTATTCGGACCTGAAATCATCGTGCACATTTCTAAACAGGTATGTCGCTGGTAATGTGTTATTATACTAACAACTATCTTGAAATAACATTTTAAACAAAATAGATTTAATCTTTGCCACTTGAAAACCCATATAAGCGCAGCAATTCTCATGAAAAAACAAGTCATTCAAGGGTAAAGCCGATTATTAAAACCAATCAAAGACAAGATAGCTAATATGAGAAGTAGATTGAATACCTATACAGGGTGTCCCACCGGGAACCACCGCAACCGATGTCTGGCAAACTATAATTATAAAAAATTTAAAAATTGAACAGTGTGTCGAAGTCATGGGGGGCAAGCGATCTAAAATAGTTCCAAGATGGCCACATTTCCGGTTATACCGGAAGTAGGGATCAGCTTGCTTATTTTAAATGGCACACCTTATAAATGTGAACACCTGTGATGGACCGCTGCGAATACCACAGTAACTAACTTTAGTAAGTGAGGTTATATTTAGGATCCTGGTTAATATAAGATTAGGTGCATCAACAAATTAAAAAAAACACCCTATATATTATTACATTTTTAATTTCTACTCCAAATTCTAAATGTATTTCAGGTATAACATCCAAACCTAAATTTAACCGTTTTTGATATATTTGAAATTTTATGTGAAAACTGACAGTTACAGCCGCTGGAATAGTTATTCTTTTTTCCTATAAGACAATTTGTGCTACTTAATTTCAGTCTAATTTATTGTTGAAAAGGACTTACTTTAATGGAATTCCGGAAACGTTTTGAAAACTATTGTTCAAACTGTTAAAAAAATGTGTTTTAAAATACAGTTGAGAAAACCGCCCAAAATTTTCCAAATATAAACCCCATTGTGGATAATTTTGTCGTCTTATTCAGTATTAAAAATGAGGGTAGGTTTGTGTAAGGTTGTCTATTCCAAAACTGTTTAGTTTTCGAATTGTTGCTTATTTAATGTTTTCATACTGCTATTTGGCCGCATCTTCTTTTAAATCCCGTCACTCTTAGTTGACATGACAAAAGTTGCCATTTTTAATACAATCAAATGCCAAAAGAATGCTGACATCTGTCAGTTATATTTTTAAAATAATTAATAATCATATCCAGACACTTAAATCATACAAACGAAGATTCTTTAAACTTATTTCTATATATAACATGTCACATATTTACCATTCGATATTTACAAAAGCAGAACCATCATGTTGTGCTGTTAACCAAATTATAGAAAATTTCAAGGATTTTGAATAAGTCTATAACAGTGCATGTTGAATTTATAAGGGCGACCAGAAAAATTTGAGACCCCTAGTTTTGGAAAAAACTGGTTTTTGTTCTTGATATAACAATAATTGATCATACATAAACGGTTCTTTATAACTTTATCACATTCTCCATAAATAATAAATAACTTTAAATAATCTTCGTTTGTATAATTTAACCGTGCGGATTTGAATATAAATTATTTAAAAAAGGTAACTGACAGCTGTCAGCATTCTTTTGGCATTTGATTGATTAAAAATGGCCACTTTCGTCATGGAAACTAAGAGATGCAGGAGTTAAAATGAAATAAGGGCAAAATAGCCATATAAAAACATTAAATTGACAATATTTCGAAAACTAAACAATTTTTTAATAGACAACTTTACACAAACTTAACCTTATTTTTAATACTCAATAAGATAAAATTATCAAAAATGGGGGTTTCCATTTGAAAACACTGATTTAGGGCAATTTTCTCAACGTCATTTTGAAACTTATTTTTTTAACACTGTATTAGTAGTTATCCAAATTTGGTCCAAATTCCATTAAAGTGAGTTCTTTTCAGCAAGAAATGCGACTCAAAATAAGTAACACATGTTCCGTCATAGAAAAAATTAATAATTATTCGAGTGGCTGCAACTGCTATTTTTTACATAAAGATTCAAATATATCAAAAACAGTTAGACATGTTTATGGGATAATATACATAAAATATATTTATAATTTGGAGTAGAAAACTGTAATAATATATAGGGTGTGCAATTTAAAATAAGCAGGTTGATACCTACTTCCGCTAGAACCGGACGTGTGGCCATATTGAATATATTTGAGATCGCTTGGCCCCAATGACTTCGGCACACTGTTCAATTTTCAAATGTCTCCTAATTATAGTTTGCCGGATATCGATCGCGGCGGTTCCCGGTGCCATATTCTGTATTGATACTAAACATACGACACAGAAAGTCGATCTGATTAAATCCGCTCCACATAATTGGCAAAAATATAATAAGTTAACTTTTTTATTGTTTACTTACATTGCTAAGCAGCACTCGGTACACGTTCAAACAATTGAATGAAACACATAGGTATATTTTGTTAGTCTGATAAGAATTAATGTGTTTGCCATATCAGAGTAGCGAAGATAAGATATTTGTTGCTTACATAACATATGCGCGCTTCCAACATTAGTTTTATGCTAAAAATCTTCTATTTCCGGGAAATGGGTAAAATATTTTTAAAAACAAAATAGTGTCATCATATTCTTACGAAATTTAACCGACACCGAGATCCTAAAAATAAAAAAATTATTTGCACACCTGTAATGACAGTGGCGTAGGCAATACGATACAATTATTTAGGCCTCTGACAGTGAAAATAAAATGGGATATGCGAAGTGAATCGAAATCTTAAAGTACGCCAGTTTTCTTGTGTTATTCAGGAACGGCCCTGAAGTTATGGTCTTATCAAAACCACGTCTAAGTCGACAGTCAGTAAGATGCCTGCATGGTCTCCATAGTACTTCCTTCCAAGTAACTGAGGTCTGAGTGAAATGAACCTTTTTCTTTCCGGGACCAGGAGATATTTGTGTTAGTAGTGCCGAAGTGTTCAAAGTACCATCATTAACCCAGATTTGATAAAGCTGGGTGTTAAAATTTTTGTTAACAACATGAGAACCGGAGTAGGGTGGTTTTAATTATTTTTGCCCTCGAAGGAAAGCTGATGCTTTCCTGATGGTTTGTTGATTTGTAAATTCTTATAGACAAACATTTTTCCTCGATCATGAGGACTAACTGGTTGTGATCGCATATTCCGAATGCTGGATAGATCATCGTCAGAGCAAAATACTGTACGATGGTGAAAGAAAAATGTCTGAAGTGTTTATCAATTTATAGATACTAATCAATATAAAGGTGTCTCTAAATGATTTGATCAACGTTTTGTTACACGTATCTGGTGTAAAAATAGGTGGATTTATTTCAGTCAATAAGTTGATAATGATTTGTCAATAGGAGTGATAAACAGTTATTTTTCTGTTACAACGTTCCTGTTTTACCTTGGTAATAGGCTTAAAAGTGCGGATCCAAAAAGAACATGTTACTTTTTAATTTGTTTACTGAAAATGCATAATTATGATGATAGTAGAAATACTGATGATATGTAATGATTTCGTTTTTTAAAAACATAATTCTAACCATTGGTACACTTAAAATAAAACATTCTAAAATCAAACACAAAAAATGGGTCAGAACTTAACTACTTAAAGAACAAAAAAACTGATGAAAAACTAGAGTGATTAAATAAAATATACGGTTTACATGAGAAAATATTAAAAAATCTCATTTTCATTTAAAAATGAATTAACATTTAAGAATAAATTTTCTTGCAGATGCTTTTCACTGAGTCTAGTTTTTCGCTTGTTTATGATAGTACCCGCTTTAGAAAATAATCCCTCGCATTTTGTTTCACAATAACAGTAAATAATTCACAGTAACAACAAACAGAAATTCATATTTTTTTTAAATTATTTTTTGGTGGTACCAAAATGAACTGGGGTAATACTTCGTCCAGCTTTGCCGAAAACGCATTTCTGTTTGTTATTATTGTGGATTATTTAACGTTATTGCGAAACGAAATGCGAGAGATTATTTTATAAAACAGGTGCTATCATAAACACGCGAAAAACTATAATCAGTAAAAAGCATCTGCAAAAATTTCTTTATTTATTTTTAAATAAAAATGAGAGTTTTAAACATTTTCGCATGTAAACCGTATATTTTATTTAATCACTGAAATTTTATTATTATCAGTTTTTTTGTTCTTTAAGTAGTTAACTCGGATCTATGTTTTGTTTTT